TGGTTGGGTGTCGAAAGTTTCGACCCACCTCTGGTGAAAAAGACAAATTTCCGCCGATCCAGCTGGAAGCGGGTCAAGTTTGAACTGCAGCTGCCTTATAGCTTGCTCTTTAATTTTTCCAAAAATCATTTCTAGGCACATAATTATCTATTTAATCAGAGAAACACCAAAACTTTTCCAATATTCAACCACTAGCTAGGAACGGCCATGCCCGCCGTTTTGACCGTATTTTGAAACGGGCATAAAAATTTCAAAAAAAACCAAAAAATTAGAAAACCTTTGAATTGTATCATTATATGTGACCAAGTTACTAGCAAAAATAATAAATTTGTAATATGACAATTATTTTAATAAAGTATTATCAGAAACGAGCTATCAAGTGTGAAGATTCATGGCTTTCAAGCCAAATGATCAATCTTATGGCGACATTCATGACATAGTTTGTTCAAATGATCTCATATTGTGCACAAGGGTGCATCTTGGAATGGCAGACAATGTTGCCTAAGGAAGTTTTCATTTTCTTTTGGAAAAAAATCATTTTCCATTTTCCGAGTGCCCAAAATGAGGTATTTTTGTGAAGGACCTACCATATATTTGTTGCAAAATTGTACCAAATCATTTTTCTAAAATACTAGGACATATTTAATGCACAATTGAAAAAATGGTTGGGTGTCAAAAGTTTTGATCCACCACTGGTGAATAAGACAAATTTTCGTCGATTCAGTTGGAAGCGGGTCAAATTTGAACTGTAGCTACCTCGTAATTTGCTCTTTATTTTTTCCAAAAATCATTTCTAGGTATATAAGTATCTATTTAATCAGAGAAACACCAAAAAAATTCCAAGATTCAACCACTAGTTAGGAACGGTCATTCCCGCCGTTTTGACTGCATTTTGAAACGGGCATAAAAAAAATTGGAAAACCTTCGCATTGCATCATTATATGTGACCAAGTTATCAGGAAAATTATAAAATTGTAATATGGTAATTAATTCAAAAAAGTGCTCATGGAAACGAGCTATCAAATGTGAAGATTCATGGCTTTCAAGCCAAATGATCAATCTTATGGCCACATTCATGGCATAGTTTGTTCAAATGATCTCATATTGTGCACAAGGGTGCATCTTGAAATTCCAAACAATGTTACCAAAGGGAGTTTTCATTTTCTTTGAACGGAAAATTCATTTTCCATTTTTCGAGTGCCCGAAATAAGGTTTTTTTGTGAAGGACCTACCATATATTTGTTGAAAAAATGTATCAAATCATTTTTATAAAATACTAGGACATATTTAATGCACAATTGACAAAATAGTTGGGTGTCAAAAGTTTTGATCCACCTCTGATGAAAAAGACAAATTTCCGCTGATTCAGTTGGAAGCGGGTCAAATTTGAACTGCAGCTGCCTCATAGTTTGCTATTTAATTTTTCCAAAAATTATTTCTAGGTACATAAGTATCTATTTAATCAAAGAAACATCAAAAGTTTTCCAAGATTCAACCACTAGCTAGGAACGGTCAAGCCAACCATTTTGACCGCATTTTGAAACGGGCATAAAAAATTCAAAAAAAATCAAAAAATTGGAAGACCTTCGCATTGTGTCATTATATGTGACCAGGTTTCCAGAAAAAATAATAAACTTATAATATGGTAATTATTTTAAAAAAGAGTTCTCAGAAATGAGCTATCAAGTGTGAAGATTCATGGCTTTCAAGCCAAATGATCAATCTTATGGCCACATTCATGGCATAGTTTGTTGAAATGATCTCATATTGTGTACAAGGGTGCATATTAGAATGGCAAACAATGTTGCCTAAGAAAGTTTTCATTTTCTTTGGACGAAAAAACCATTTTCCATTTTCCGAGTGCATGAAATGAGTTTTTTTTGTGAAGGACCTACCATATATTTGTTGCAAAATTGGACCTAATCAATTTTATAAAATACTAGGCCATATTTAATGCATAATTGACAAAATGGTTGGGTGTCAAAAATTTTGATCCACCTCTGGTGAAAAAGACAAATTCCCGTCGATTCAGTTGGAAGCGGGTCAAATTTGAACTCCAGCTGCCTCATAGTTTGCTATTTATTTTTTCCAAAAATCATTTCTAGGTAAATAAGTATCTATTTAATCAGAAATACATGGTTTGATGGTGAGACATCGAGGTTTGGACGGTGGCCGAGAGCCCCAACTCTAGAGCGCGTAAGCTCGCATGCCCGCCGCGTGGTCATCGTGTGACCGTGGCATTGCCATGTGTTCTGGGCTGCCTAGGCATGTCTAGTGGGTTTGGCACTCCCCAGGTAGGTGCTACGAAGAAAATCACAACATAAGATTCTCACAAGGAGACCGATCGATGCTCAAACATGAATAAGCAGCCAAGTGTTTGGTTTGCGGTACGGGAAGTGCACATGGCTAATGGGCTTGAGTTTTGGCTGAGGATGATCAGTTACTAAGAAGACCGTCTTCACAAATTTTCACCTCAAAAGGAGGATCCTAGGTGGTACTTGCTTTACAAAGTACCACACTGGACATAAATACGAATGTTGAAGCTGGGCTCAAAATAATGAACGGATTGAGCTGGCATTTGGTGGAGGATGGTTATTTGGGCATAGGAAAGCACTGTAGAAAATGGATACCATTTGGACATGCCAAAGTGGTACTTCCTTCACAAAGTGCTGCTTTGAACAGAATAGGAAAATGAATATTTTTGAATTATTTTTGAACTCGGCAAGGAAGGTTTTTAATATATTTGATGAAGATATGACCCAAAGAATTTATGAGATTTTTTTGGGAATTTTGGGAACGACAGAAATATAGGATGCTTCACAACTTAGGGCAAAAACTGCCACATGGACATGACACATAGGCAAAACTGATGTGATGACGCCTAGTCATCACAACCCACCACAATCTACAAGGCTATGACCATCTATATTGATCGTTAACAACTAGAAATAAGGCAGCGGACTAGCACTGTTTGCTTTGTGACCATTTCGTGTGAGGAAATTACGACCTTTCTTACCAAAATGGTCGCAATGGTTTAGGGTTTGTAGCTCTCCGAACAGCTTTTGACCAATTGGTCTGAAATGGTCATAGATCTATGACCAATTCTTCGAGGGTCACTGATAGAAGGTCACTAGTTGACATATTTCTTGTAGTGCTCCTTGTTGGCTGCCCCTCCTCCTCCAAGCTATATATACTAGGGGTTTTGCTCTATTGTTTCATACAAGTTTTGGAGCCTCTCTAGTTCTTCTAGTTCTAGTTCTTCTAGTTCTAGTTCTAATTGGTCCTAATTGACTAATTAGAGCTAGGCTAATCCTATTGTTCTCATAATTAGAAGGATTGTGTGGTTCTAATCTCCTCCCTCTAATTCTTCAGCAACGATTAGCTCTAGACGGCGAAGCGCCATCGGATCGTGAAAGCTCCATGCTTGCAACCAAGTAGAGAGGCCATTCTTTCGGTCTTCAGTTCGAGGGACTGTTCGTGAGCGGTACGAGAGATCTCTCATCGACGGTATGAGGGACTCCAAGTACGATCTACACCGACACATTCTTCTACCGCTGCAACTCAGTGACGGTAACGATCATGATCTCAACCCGTTATGCATCTTCATATTGATCTTGGGTGCTCGTAGATGTGAAGTTTTTTTTGTTTTCTACTATGTTTTCCGACAGTCAGGGCATGCAGCCCAGATCATGACCACAATTATCATCAAGTTTGTAGGTGGAGTGAGTTTTGTCGCATAGAAGGTGGATTCGGAAGGATCGATGTTTTATCTTGTAAGGAATTGTTGAATAATACTCCCTCCATTCCTTGATATAAGGTGTATAGATTTTTGAGAAAAACTCCGAAATATAAGGTGTATTGCGTTGCATCACACGTTTGGATAACTTTTTTAGGGATTTGATTACATTTCCTTATATCAAGCAAGCTCCTCTATTTTTTCATGTCAATTAGTCAGCTGTAATCTCGCCCGAAACTTGTGAAATTTTCCCTCCGTGTGTGTTCTATAATTTCCGTGCCAAAAACTATACACCCTATATTTAGGAATGGAGGGAATATATAATATGGATGTGTGCATCGCTTTATGTAGAGGCCAGGGGTTTAACCTCCTTTTTAAAGAAAGTAAAATTTCTTGCTTCAAGAGGTAACCCCTTCAAACCAACATGCTCAATAATAGCATTCGAGACAAAGCTCCAATGGTCAGTTTCATTGCATTTTTTCAAGAGCTATTTCTTGTAAGCTTGAAATCACCACCCATCACACAAGGTAGAGGATTACCATGATAAACCCGAGACAATGTTGATAAATCATAATGAACGTAATTATACTTTTCAAAGTACAATGGCAAAAGTCAAGGAGACGGTAAACTTCAGTGACTATTGGTGCAATCTATCATTTTCTTGTCGATTATATTCACTCCTACGGTCCTACCTAGACGACAGATGTGAGGCGAGCTTAGCCATATAGCCACCTATATACTCAGTATCTTGATAATGGTTTCGTGATCTTCAAAAATGTCTTTCGGATTAAAAAAAAACGCCACCAGACGAAACTACTTTCTCATGTTGATCAGTTGGAGCATTTGACGTGAGAGGAACGAAAGGGTGTTTAACAATCGCTTCACGCCATTAAAAGTGTCATTGATGAAATCAAGAATGTGAAATGGCAAGCCTAGGACGATCTGATCGTCGTTTAGCTCCGTGTTGCTGGTGGTCATCATGTTGAGTTTTCGTATCTTGTCTTGTTGTTTTAGCTTTGATTTGTTGGACTTGTAGTTGCTGAATAGGTCGTGCTTACTTTCCTCTCTCTTTAAAAAAATGCATGCAGCTGTCCTAACGCAAAACTACTTTCTTATGTCATCGGAACTCTTCCACACGTGCTTTGACAGTAGTACGTAACGATAACTTGAACGCCTAGTCTGAATGGGTAACTTCAGTCGGCATACGTGCTTTCTCATGACTTGAACGATGTATAAGAAGATCTGCGTAGCCGCGCCGGGTGGATTACATGAGCGTGACGAGGTGCTGCAGAGCCCGCGGAACTGGCGGCGCGTGAACCTGGACGGCGCCCTCCAGCGCCTGAACGACCTGCGCCATGGTCGGCCGTTGCCCCTCTTGGTCCTGGATGCACCAGCACGCCACCCAACATGCCCGCTCCAGCTCCTCCGGACTCACGTTTCCACGCAGCCGCGGGTCAGCTACGGCGCCCACCTCCCCTTCCATGACCTTCCCCACCGCCCACACGGGGAAGAAGGTCCACGAATCACTGCTCCCGCTCCCTGCCGCCTCCACCGCACTATACCCCTCGGAGTTTCGTCGTCCTGAGATGAGCTCAAAGAGCACCATTCCAAAGCTATACACATCCGCCTTGGCACTGATGGGCTGCCCGGAGATCCACTCCGGCGCCAGATACCCGATGGTGCCCCGCATTGTCGTCAGCACGCGGCTGAAGTCCCTCCCCACCAGCTTCGCCATCCCGAAGTCGGCGATCCTCGGGGACATGTCCTCGTCCAGTAGGATGTTCTCCGGCTTAATGTCGCAGTGTATGATGCACTCCTGACAACCGCGGTGCAGGTAGGCCAGCCCTCTTGCCACGCCAACCATGATGTTGTACCGTTCGCGCCAGCTTGGGCTTGCGCCGCTGCCAAAGAGATAGCGGTCAAGGGAGCCTCTGGCCATGTACTCGTACACGAGCATCTTCTCATCATGCGACGGGCAGAACCCGAAGAGCCGAACAAGGTTCACGTGCTGGATGAGCCCCAACGTGTTCACCTCCGCCCGAAACTGCTTGTCGCCCTGCCGCCCACCAAGACTTTCAAGCTTCTTCACTGCCACTTGGACTTGGATTGTGTTGTCTCCCTTATGCCGCTTCAGGACACCGCGGTACACCGAGCCAAAGCTGCCGCCGCCCAGCCGCTCTGAGAAGTTCTTCGTGGCGGCACGGAGGTCGCCGTAACTGTACACGGCCAAGGAGGATCCCTTCTCGTTTTCCATTCTGGCTAGTCGTCTCCTCCGAGCAAGGAGAATCCTCCAGGCCAGCATCACCGACGCGCCTAATGCTACAACGCCGACCAATGGGATGCCAAAAACAAGCCATAACTTTCTACCTCGTTTCTTCCTGTCTGAGCCGTGCAGAACTTGCAATCCTGCTTCTGAAAGCCGGAGATGGAGGTCTGACCCAGAGACGCCGGAATCCACGTAGAGCTGCTCAAGGTTGCGGATCTCTCCATACCAGACGGTGCATCCCACGCCCCCGGCGGAGAAGGCATAGGCTTGGCAAGAGCAATTCTTTTGGCAAGTCGATTCGCACTCTGCTTTGCTCTGGGCAACGGCCACGGAGACCGACTCGTCGGGGAGCTTCACATTCGGCAGCGCTAAGAATCCGTCCGCCGTCGACCCGTTGTGCGCGCATGTGAGCTGCGAGCTCCGGCGGCAGCCACCACTCCAGTCGCTCAGCGTCCAGTCCCCCTCGGACACCGGAGCGAACCCGGGCGGGCACCGGCACGGCAGTTGGCTCCTCTGGTCGCAGATGCCGAACGCGCCACAGAGCGCGTACACTTGGCACTGCATGGTGGGCGCGGTCCAGAACAGTTGCCAGCTCTGCCTCGCGGGCACCCAGATGTACAGCTTCGCCTGGCCGGTGAGATCAAGCACCAAGCGCGTGATGGTCGTGTTGTCCGTGATGACGTTGGTGAGACGCCGGTACGCCGACGTCTCCTCGTACGACGTGATGCTCCCCGTTGCGTCCGGCAGCCTCTCGAAGACTTTCCCCGTCCAGACGCCGCTCCGCCAGTACGCGCGGGAACGGTTCCACATGTAGAAGAACTCACTGGTGCCATTGGGGTCTATCATGTCCGTGAACATCCCCGGCGCGGGGTCTTGGGCGTTCCGCCATGATGTCAGCGTCTGGTACTCACCGGTGAGCTTGTTCTCTCCGATCCACGCCCCCGGCACGTGCGTGTCCGTCGGGTGATCGAAGCTCTGCCATAGCACGGTGGAGGAGTTGCCGCCGTCGACAAGGACCAGGTTGCCGTCGTCGCGGATCTCCACCGTGTTCGAGCCCGGCGACGATGACAGAGACGAAGACGAGAGGTTTGAAGACCACACGACGACCGGCAAGGCGGAGGCGTTGGTGGGACCGACGAGCTCGAGATTGCCATCGGCGGCGGACACCCGGAGCTCGGCGGACGCGACGCCGGACAGGGGGGTCGCGCGGTTGCCGACCCAGACGACGGTCTGGCCAGGGATGTTCTTGTACCAGATCCCCAGGTAGAACCTACCGTCGGAGCTGCCAGCGGGGCTGAACAGGCCGAGCTCGAACCTGCCCTGTGCGGAGACCAGCGTGTCGTTGCCCCGCAGCGGACGCCGCGCCGAGACTTTGGCCGCTGCACCCACTGCGAAGCACAAAGCAAGGGCTACGCAGGTGGCAATGAACATGACTGACATGGTGGAGCACTTCCGTTTGCCGGGGAATGCTCATGGATGTCAACGCTCGTGGTGATCCCGGCATATTAATGACCTATCAGTTAAACGTTTCGTGCATGGCTGGTGTGATCATGAATTGGCTTGACCGGCGAAAATGTGATCGATTTGACTAAAGACGTTCCGTTATCGCTGACCCAACAATCACGTGGCTGACTATCGTTTCGTTTTTCACGGCCTCATGTCTTTTGATGAGACGCTTTCATGCTAAGTTGGATCTAACAAGAGGCTAACGCGTGCTTTGCCGCGCCGTTCTTCACACCTAAAAATAACTTTTTTTATATCTATAGATTATCATGATCAGTTGCTTTGTTTTGATTTTATCTGTGTTGGCTTTGTGTTTTAAATTCTTATTGGTGGTGTTCTTTTTTCATATATTCTATCATGTTGGGTTGATGTTGGAGTATTATTTTTTCAAGAGAAGAAAGAAGTTATTTGATGTGTGGTTGTGAAGCCTTTGCACATTTTGGCCTTGGCGTCAGCCCAGTGATGATTGTTTGAGTTTATTGGGAGTTCTTATTTTATGCTAAGGGTCTGTCTATATCACATCTAGATGTGAGATAATATCTCACATCTAAGATGATGTCATTCTTTTTTGTTAATTGTCCAGCCAAGCTACTGTTTATTTTTTGCTTTTTTTTATTCGGCTCAGTTTCTGGAAGAAGAAACGCAAAGAACGTCCAGCCAACCTGCTGTTTTATTGTTTGTTTGCTTTTTTTTATCCGGCTCAGTTTCTGAAAAAAAAAGGAAACAAGGGCGCACGTACCAGTTGTTGAATTTCCTACCTCCTACTCTTAAACACTCACTTATAGCCGCTAGAACCAAGGGTTGTTCTTGCATAATGATAAACACAAACACTTAATAACTCAGTTAATTAGCGTCAGATCTGGTCACTAGCTCCCTGAAAAAATCTAGTTGCTAGCTACCGGTAAAAAAACTGATCGCTAGCTTTTTCCGAAAAAAACTGCTCGCTAGTCCAAACGTCGATTTGTTAGCTTTTGCGTCTGATCGTTATACATTTACAAGTACATCCCTCATTGCTAGCTTGTAGGCTACCAATGTTTTTTTTCTTTTTGTCTTTTGGTTTTTGCGTTTTTCACTCTTATTATTTTATAATTAATTTTCTGTAAGGAACAAAGTTGGGTCAAAACATATTTCAAAAAACATGTTCATGAATTTAGATATTTTTTAAAATTATAAAAAATGTTAGCAAATACCAAAAAAATTCTAATATATGATGAACAATCCTTTAATATATGATGATCATTTTCTGAATACACACAAATTTTTTTGCAATATACAGTGAACATTCTTTTTTGATACATGATGAACTTTATTATATACGATGAACTAAAAGCGAACTTTTTCATATACATTGTTCTAAAAGCAAACAAGAGAAAACAAAAAAGAAAGATAAACCCAAATAGAAAAAATAGATAAATAAGAAGAGAACAAATAATGAGCACATTTTGATTTGTTCTAAAAAATAGATAAAGACGAACAATTTTAGAAGAATGAACAAATTTACATATTTCAAACATTTATTGAAACTTGTGAATTTATGAAAAAAGAGAAAAGAATCATAGGAAATGAGATCAATTTTTTAAAATAGAAAAAATAAAAGTAGAGAAAAACCAATGAATAAAATGATAAATAAAAAAACATGGAGAAAACAGAACAAAAAATGTATCCTAGCTACTTGGGCGGGCTCTTCTGCAGTTTGTTCACTAACGAGGGTGGACATGCAGCTAGGACAAAAAAAGGTCGGACCCCTACTAGAAGTCGAGGGTGGACTCTCAACTGGGAAGGAAAAAGGTCGGGCCCTAGTTGCGAGTCGAGTTTGAACTTGCAACTGGGACCAAAAAGGTTGCCATACTTGCGAGTCGAGGGGTGGAGTTGCAACTAGGAAAAGAAAAGGTCAAGTCCCAGTTGCGAGTCGACGGTAGAATTGCAACTGGGAAAAAAGATCGGGTCCCAGTTGCGAATCGAGGGTGCATTCGCAATTGGGACTTAAAAAGGTCGGGCCCCACTTGTGAGCCGAGGGTGGACTTACAACTCAGACAAAAAAGGTTGGCCCCAGTTGCGAGTCGAAGGTGGACTTGCAACTTGGACAAAAAAAAAGGTTGAGCCCTAGTTGCGAATAAAGGGTGGACTTACAATTCAGACACAAAAGGTTGGACCCTACTTGCGAGTCGAGGGTGGACTTGCAACTCGGACAAAAAAGGTTATGCCCTAGTTGTGAGTAAAGAGTGAACTTGCAACTCAGACAAAAAAGGTTGGTCCCCAGTTGCGAGTCGAGGGTGGTCATGCAACTTGCGAAAAAAAGTCTACCCCATTTTGTGTCGAGAGTGAATTTGTAACTAGGACAAAAATGATTGAGGCCTAGTTAAGAATCGAGGGTGGACTTTCAACTGGGACAAAAAAGGCCGGAGCCCCGTCGCGAGTCAAGGGCAGACTTACAATTAGGACCATAAGTGTCGAGACCCGGTTGTGAGTCGAGAGTGGAATTGCGACAGGGAAAAAAAGGTCAGGCCTCAGTTGCGACTCGAGAGTGGACTTGGAAATGGGGAAAAAAGGTCGGACCCCAATTGCGAGTTGAGAGTGGACTTGCAACTAAGAAAAAAGTCATGTCCTAGTTACAAGTCGAGGGGGGGGGTGCAACTGGGACAAAAAAGTTCGAGCCCCAATTGCGAGTCGAGGGTGCACTTGTAATTAGAAAAAAGCCGGACCCCAGTTGCGAGTCGATGATGGACTTGCAACTAAAAAAAAGACTGGGTCCCAGTTGCGAGACTAGAGCGGACTTGCAACTCCGACAAAAAAATTTGGGCTCCAGTTGTGAGTCGAGGACGTACTTGCAACTGGGACAAAACAATTCAGACATCAGTTGTGAGTCGAGGACCGACAAAAGCGAAGCCAAACAGGCCTAGACAACAACATGATATCTAATAAACAAAAAGCAACAAACGAGGCGGAAGGTAGAGAGAGCGCTTGCATGGAAATTACAGGAAATAAAATAAATGGTGAATTTATTTATTTATTGAAAATTATGAATTTAAAAAGACCAAAAAGAGAAAATAGAAAAACAAAAGTTGAAAAACAAATGAGGAAAAAACAAGGGAAAACAAAACAAAAATCTTATAGCAAAGAGTTATCCTACAATAATGCACTTAGATTTGAGGTATTATTTCACATCTAGATGTGAGACAGCAAACCCGAAAAACAGAACATAGGCTCCAGTAGTGAGTTGGGGTGGGCTTGGGACTCGGACTACTACGTGCCCAGTTGCGAGTCGAGGGATGGACTTGCAACTGGGACAACTATGAAACTACGAGACAAGCTACAAGTCAAGGGTTGACTTACAACTGAGATGAAACAAACTATGGTCCTAGTTGCGAGTCAAGGGTGGACTTGCAACTGGGATTAAAACGAGAGGAAAACCAATGAAAGAAAAAAAATGATAAAATATAAAAATAAAAAATCATAAAGAAAAAACAAAAGAAAAATAGAAAAAGTATCCTAGCTACTTGGGCCGGCTCATCTGCGGTTTTTTCGCTGTCGAGGGGTGGACTTGCAACTAGGACAAAAAAAGATCGGACCCCTAGTGGCGAGTCGAGGGTGGATTCGCAACTGGGACAAAAAAGGTTGGGCCCCAGTTGCGAGTCGAGGGTGGACTTGCAACTGGGACAATAAAAGGTCGAGCCCGAGTTACGAGTCGATGGTGGACTTGCAGCTATGAAAAAGGTCAATTACCCCCGAGAACGTCAATTCCACAACCCAACCCAGCCACGCCTAGTTGCATTAGCATTGAAGGCGTTAAATGTAGTGGGGGACAAGACCAGTAATTGCGAATTGAGGGTGAGATGAAACAAACTATGAGCCCAGTTGCGAGTCAAAGGTGGACTTGTAACTTGGATGAAAAACAATAGACATGGCTAGCTGCGAGTCAAGGGCGCGCTTGCAACTGAGAGAACTATGAGTTGAGTTGCGACTCGAGGATGCACATAAAACTGGGACAACTACAAACTACGAGCCCAATTGCGAGTCAATGGTCGACTTGCAACTAGGATAAGACAAACTACAATCCAGTTGCGAGTCAAAGATGGACTTGCAACTGGGATGAAAGACCAAATACAAGCCCAATTGCACGTCAAGGGTGGGCTTGCAACCAGGAAAAAAGAAACTATGGGCCTAGTTGCGAGTCGAGGTAGGACTTGTAAATAGGATAACAAAAACTACGAGCTCAGTTGTGACTCACGGGTGGACTTGCAACTGAGATGAAAAACATAACACATGCCAAGTTGTGAGTCGAGGGTGGACTTGCAACTAGGACAACAAGAAAATATGGGACCATTCGCAAGTTGGGGGTGGACTTGCAAGTAGGACAACAACAAAACAGTGATCCCAGTTGCGAGTCGAGGATGGACTTGAAATTAGGACAACTACAAAACAACGAGCCAATTGCGAGTCAAGGGTAGACTTGCAACTGGGATGAAAAAGAAAAACATGTCTAGTTGCAAGTTGAGGGTGGGCTTGCAAATGGGAGAAATATAAACCCAGTTGCGAATGGAAGACGGACTTGCAACTAGGACAACTATGAAACTACAAGCCCAATTGCAAGTCAATTGTCGACTTTAGTTGGGATGAAAGACGAAACACGTGCCCAGTTACGAGTCAAAAATGGGCTTGTAGGGGTGGACTTGCATGTCAGGGGTGGGCTTGCAACTGGGACAAAAGTGGTCGGGTCCCCAGTTACGTGTTGAGGGTGGAGTTACAACTGGGACAAAAATGGGCCAGGCCAAGTTGCGTATGAACAGTGCACTCACAAAAAAATCGGGCTTCTTACATATTAGGGTTAGACTTGCCAAAAAAAGGTTGTTGCCTGTCATTGTAGTGTTTAAAAGCAGATCCATCCTCGGGTTACCTCTGCTCCAAAGACAAAGAGGAATGAGAGAGAGAGAGAGAGA